TTTGTTTTTTCTGTGAATTTTTAAATGTTTCTTATTTTATTTTTTGTTAAAAATTAATGAGTTTTTATGTTTAATTGTGAAGTTTGAATGTTATTTAAATAGATAATGAAATAATAGCTATGTTTTACATTTATTATATAAAAAAATAAAGCAATAATAAAAAAATCAATTTATTATAGATAATTTAACAAATATAAATTATTATTAAAAAAATGGGGGTCACAAAAAAATTATGAAATAATTGGTGGGCCATGAGTATAAAAAGATTAAGAACCACTGAAGTAGATAATAAAATCATACTCAGCAGTAAGAAATAGTTAAGAAATTTACATAACTACCTTATGCTTGATGAGAAATATTTATTTACATAAACACAAACATTTTAAGCCTAAGTTCATAGGTCACCATCAGGTGTAGAACACTATATCTGACTTTTTTTTAAAAACATGAAACATTCAAACACAGAAATTAAACATAAATTTAAAATAACAGAGTTAAATGATAAACAAATAACAAACAAAACAAATAAGTATGCATACCACATAAACTGTATGTGTTCAAACATACAATCATTGAAATGTTCATTTAAAAAAAAAAAAACATTCAAATATAGTATTCTACACATGATGGTAACCAAGAATTAGGTCAAAAATGTTTGTGTTTGTAAATTTATGTAAATAGATAATTTTCTACTTAATTTACTCTAAAAAGATATCTAATTTATCTAAAAATTATAAAATTAGGTAAAGTAAATTCACTTCAATTGATGAGTGTTTTTTTTTTTTTTTGTTTCGGTTTGAAGAGAAAAAGATTCTTTTGAAAATCTGATCAGTTATAAGTTGAGTTATACTGAGTATTACAGAACATATTAAAGAAATCATTTTGTTAAAAGCCATATAAAATTAACAAGAAACATAAAACTGATACAGGTAAAAAACAAAATAGGGGTCTAACTTTTGCCATTTTACTAATTAAAAGCATGTTCTACTCTTTTGCATAATAATAGGTTTAATGAATAATATCTGTAAAGATGACATTTATAGATAATATCTTATTAACCATAAAATGTCTTGTGGTGCATAAATTAGAAATAAAGATTTGAATATNATAAAGCAGTAATAAAAAAAATCAATTTATTATAGATAATTTAACAAATATAAATTATTATTAAAAAATGGAAGTCACTAAAAAATTATGAAATATTTGGTGGGCCGCGAGTATAAAAAGGTTAAGAACCACTGGTATAGAAAACTAAGTGCATACTCTTGCCCCACTTTCCTCTAATACTATAAGATATTTATTTCATTTTATGTCAATTGAAGCTGCTGTAATAGAATAGAATTTGGAGTTTCAGAATTAATAATAATAAAAAAGTTACAAATTTCTCTAAACAAATGTGTAAAAATTGATTAAACTTAATTATTGATTCACCTATCAAAAATCTTTATCCAGTCTACAAGATAAATTTTATAAATATATTGTGTATAAAGAAAAGTCCTTGTTAGTAATTTTCTATGAAAAAATTCTAAAAATAAAATAAACTGAAGTGAATCAAAAAATAAATTCCACAGAAAAAACAGAATTCAGTGTAAAAACTACATTTTAAAAAGGACATGTACATTTTATTCAAGTTTAGGCATTCAACAAGTCAAAATGAAAAATGTTTCATTGTAGCAAGGTATATTCTTGACCTTTTCCCAACTATATGGGGTCAGCACTTCAAGTCTATCTCTTCCATTCTGTCCTGTCCAAAACAACTCCTGCAAAGACATAGCACTCCTCCATATCATGTTTAAAGGTTTTATTCCAGGTCTCTCTCTCCTTGCCCCTTCCACTGACATCTCCAAGACTCTTCATACTGGGTCTGTTTCTGGTTGGTGTAGCACATGCCCAAACTACCTCTGCTGATTTTCCCTCAATTTTTCTTCCAGCTCCATGATGTCCAAGCTTCCCCTGATGTAACTATTTCTGTCAATAGCTCACCTGATAGAGCAGTGGACTGTAGAAGTTAAGCTTACTGAACATTCCTCACCTTATCTTTCCTTTTGACACCACTCACCCATCTCAGCATATGCATTTCTGCAACATGCATTCTATGTATCTGCACTTTTTTCACAGCACTCTGAACCATGCAACACTGCAGGCCCAACAATCATTTATAAAATTTTCCTTTTAATCTTGGGAGGCATTCTTCTGTCAAAGTACTCCACTAACCCCTCTCCATTTAGTCCGACCAGTTGCAACTCTGTTATATTTTCATCAATCTCTCCATCTTGCTGGAGACTCCGAATATCTGAATCTTTCACTCTCCTCTTCAATTCTCACATTGACTTCATTCTAAGAAGCACCTTCCCCAAAATCACATTTCATATACTCCATTTTCTTTCTACTAATTAAGTAAATGTCTCTTCAATCTGAAAAATTCTTCCGATAGACTACCTCACAGCTAATTCAGGTTATAAAACTCTTTTTATTGTTTTTTTACAGATGCATTGAAGGGACATTTACTTAATCAACAGATAAAACAGCTACCATTTAAAAAATTAAAAAAAAATTCTTTCTACTAATCTTTAATCTTTACCTTTCAGTCTTTCCCTCCACTTTTCCAACTTACAGTGTAATTTATTCTTGTCCACATTAATAAGCACATCATATGGAAAATGGCCTCTACTGTCAATCTTCCTGGCAAGAACACACACTGATTTTCCTTGATGTCCAAACACATTCTCAACCTTCACTCAACAACTCTCTTAGATTTTCAATGTTTGGTTCATCAATTTTATGCCTCTGTAATTTGAGCAATCCTGAATGTCACCTTTTTGAATGAACCTTTGCACTTGTATACTGGTATCAGACAGCTTTTTCTCTATTCCTCAGGCATATTTTCCATTCAAAATTTTATTAAATAATCCAGTTAGCCAGTCACGACATCCCTTGTCCAATGCCTTCCATATATCCAATGGTATTCCATCTAGACCCACAGCTTTCCCATTTTCTGTTCTACTCAAGGCAATTTTGACCTCTTATATACATTAAAAATTAAGACGTAGTTACTTCCAAAAATTCTTGGGTGATCATCATATTTCTTTTAAATGTTCCTTAGTAAAAACTTCAGACGACCCGACCTTCCGTTTTAGGCTACGTGGCTGTCCTGGAAAAAGTTTCTTAAAACATAGAAACAACCAATTAAAAAGTAATAATTTTTTTTTAAAATTGGATTTGATGATCTTATGACGTCTTGCTTATTTCATCCTTCTCCATTCGGGAATTTTTTTATATCTACTGAAAATTTGCACTGTTTAATGTACATTATCTTCTATCCTCCCTCTGTAGATTATCTTCTATCCTCTCTTTTAAAGAAAATTTTATCATCCAGCAAAAATTCTTATATACTTATTACTTCAATCCCTCCTTATTGTCCATCTCTAGAACCATATCAACGTTAGACTGGAACTTCAGTAGACCACAGAAGTATTGTTTCCAATGCTCTCTAATATATCTCTCATCAGTTAGCACTCTCTAGTTATCATCCTTTATGCAGCATATCTGTCCAAGATCCCTGCTCTTCCTTTCTCTTATTTTGGCCAGCCTGCAGTAAGCTGACCAAAATAAAAGAGCAGGGAATAATATACCTTGCTAATCAGCCAGTAGCAGGGAATAATATACCTTGCTAATCAGCCAGTAGCAGGGTATATTATAACCGATTAATAAAAGTAATTTAATAACTTAATAGCTTACTGTATATGAAAGCAGAGTGAAGTGTTAACATTACAACAAAAAGGATGACTATTTTGAACATTTCTAATACTGTGAATCAGTACTTATCAACACTAGTTCGTAATGGCCATCGTTCTGTTGTATTACATGTCTTGTATTTAACCAAATGATTGCTTAATTACATAAGGCTTTACTAATGCCACTATTAATTAATAATTAAATTTAATGTATTATATTGTTCAGAAAGTAATTTTGTTTTTTTACCACCATAGGGATCAGTTGTATTTTTACCCACCAACTTTATTTTGAAACCATATTGTCGTTATATATTTTGACAGCTGATATTTCAAGGCTTATTTGTAAAAAATTTTGTTTGGTTTTGTGCAATTTTATTTTTTGCTATCCCATCAAATATGGAAAATTGAAAGCATTTTCAGCATATTTTGCTTTTTTATTACCAAAAAAAAGTAAAAATGCTGTTCAAGCAAGAAAAAATTGTGTGACATGTATTGTACATTTTGTATCCTTTACTTCAAAATTTCCCAAATGAAACTTTGAAAACCGTGCATATGACACATTCGGAGTTTAGAAGTATCTTCCCCATATATGGTACGTGTAGATTTTACCGTTCGCATAAAGTGATATCCTTTATGAAACTTAAAAAGCATGCATAATATGCTCAATGTGCATTTTACCTGCAGACATTTTGACTTGATTTTATTCAAACAAAATGTGATGTAAAAAAGCATAAAATAAGCTTCAAAACAAAGAATAAAATCTCACATCAGGAATAATGTAATTATAAGTTGTGAAATTTAACACAGCATATATTTATGTTAAGTAAAAACAGCTGTTAATAAAAATATACAAAATCTTTCAAATTCCAATAAAATTATTGGGATACAGTAGTCGTATTTTGCTATTCTGTATTGGGTATGCATATTTTTTTTGACTTTTTTATGATTTATACATGCTAGGCTTGTAAACTTCTTGTTAAATTTGTGTTAAATCGGATAAAGATACAGATTTTTTCCATTATACAACCCAATTTTCCTTTCTGTTTCCACAGTGGACAGATTCCACAATATACAGGTTAATTTACATTACTTTTAGCAAAAAATTCAAGGACCAAAGAAATTCTCTGTTAATGACAGGTTCCGTTACAAAGAGGTTTGACTGTACTACTTATCAAAATTTATCTCGTGTAAAACTGATAATTAATATTTTATTTTATGAATAAATATATTGAGGACAATATATTTTTGAAAATACTTTTCACTTACTTCAGCAGTAAGATATTCCAATATAGCTGCACTGTAGACGGCAGCTGTGGCTCCAACTCGTCCATGACTTGTAGTTCTGCTTTTCAAATGACGATGAATACGTCCAACAGGAAACTATAAATTACAAAATTATCTTTAAATAGTCTCTCATACATTATTATGATATCTAAATTAATGACAAAGTAAATAGTGACATTCAATTGTTTAATTTTGATCATAAAAACATATACACGAGATGAAATAGTTTTCATATCACTAACCAAAAATCAAAGCCAATTTCAGTCTTGAAGAAGCTTACATTAAAAACCATATTAAAGTAAACCTTGTTGCATTTATGTAAAACTGATAAAGTAAATATCTTTTGTAAAACTTCTTTCCAATAAATTAACAAATGGCTAGCTATTTAACAAATTTATCATTGAATACATCTCTTTTCAAAAAATGAACTATTTATGTAATTTTTTCTTGACCTATTGCATATCCGTTTCTTACAATTTCAGAATTGTTTTTAAACTATCTATAGTTAATTCTTTAATAACTTTTAGTGGATATGATTGTATATTGTACAGTATATTTATTGTGGTTCTTTTTATATATTTACTAGTACATTTCCTAAACTTTTCCTACAACAGATACTTTCCAAATCCTCTAACTTTAATGGAACATCTTGGCTATTTTGTAGAATATAAATGGTACAAATACAAGATATAAATATATATAATTAAGACAAAACATGCAAGAATGTAAAATAAACTAGCATTATTATATATATATAATAATGCTA